AAATCTGTAGTAATGAGATCCTACGCCAAGAATAAGCATATAAATTTATGAATGCGATAACAAGCGAGTCCCTACCTGAGGGCCGAAAGTAAGTTCCTTGCGCTTTGTGGCAGACTGGAAATAGGTTCTTCGCTTCGAAGAAGGATCCTGTGAGGAGGTGGGAAGATGCACAACATCGTCTGTAATAGGTTTCCTTGGAGGGAACTGCGGAGCTTTATGGTTCTGGTCTATACGCGTGTGAACGAAGTGAGGCATGGTCGCAATAAGCGGGGAGAGTGCCCAGGGTTGCGACTTCGAGGTCAGATCTTGTTCGAGAGTTGGGTCTATCAATCTGGAAACAATGAATCGCATGTTTGTAGAGTTTAAATAGATTAAAATACTTCATGAACTTCAGCGCAGCACTGAATCCCCAAGGAAGTTTTAGTGGTCTGTCGAACACGTTTCCGAACATGATGTCGTCTGCGGAACGTGGCTGTAGGAAGCGGCCTGTAATAATTGTTACATTCCGTCACAAATACCGCCACAAAAGGTGGACCAAATAACGAACCTTGGGCTTGTATACTCCAGGTTATGCCCTTACGTTCCTTCTGGTCAAAGTACGAACTGTGGCTGACATTTCCGTTCTCATCCGCGAAACCCTTGATGTGCACAACGATCTGTCCCTCGAACACGTCTGATTTGACATATATTGGTATCCCTGAGTTTGCTTCAATAGGGGTCAGATCATCCAGTGAAGTCCCCGCAAGTATCCTGAGTCGTGTCATGGCAAGTCTTGCGACTAGCAGAGTGAACAAGAAGTCGACCAAAGAGTATGAGAATTTCGTGGGGTATATATATATATATATATGACTGTATGGGTGTGGATTAAAGCAAGTAGGGTATCCCAGCTACCAAACCTGCAGATATAAGTAGATACTTCAACGAGTACTTATATCAGGTTGCTGCGGGTCACTGACCGAGCTGGCCGAGCAGCCCCCCCCCCCGGGCAATTATATTCCAGGTGTGGACGGATTTGGTCGGTTTCAACCCCCTATGTTATACTCTTTTAAGGACAGATTGGTCGAATTTTTGGCCGAGGTTATATCTATCGAACCGGTGAAAATGCCCGAAGGTGGTGTCCCTCAAAGGATGGATTGAGGAGACAACTGTTGTGAGAGTTTTACATAGAGGTAGTATGTACTGTTAGAACTTTTCCCACCACTGACCTTTGGAAATGTTCCCACGTTATCGGCTCTGCTAGTGATGTAACTTTCTATCCAATGTGACACAGCGGGGATTACACCGTGCGACCGTCGAGCGCATGTAATGAACATGACAAAAACATTCAGAATGTTTATCGTGTGCTTCCGAACTAAACATGCAAAAAAACATGGCGTGAGCGACACGTCACGAGAGATTCCATATCTGGACTTATGGGGACGGGAAGTCACGCTCTGTGACTGACATGTTTGTTGGCATGTTTGGTCCAAAAAAAAATTCAAAAAACATTGAACATGTTTTTATTAATTACATGCGCTCTGTGATCGCACGCGTCAATCCCCGCTGTGTGATGGGTGCCCGACATGATTGGATTGACCATGACATATCGTCAGCGAGCCTTCCTATGATGTGCCGGTTTTGAGCTTGTATCCCATAAAAAGGACAGATGATCTGCACTGTTGCCAAGCCCGTAGTCCAAGATCGGATGGAAAGTGAGCCAAAATAAGGAGGTATATCCCAATTCGGATGTTTGAACGCTGAAACGTAGAGGATAGATTGCCCCAAAAATTCAGTTTTCGGAGTATAATATTGGGGGCCTGGCCGAGCCAAGTAGTGCAGTCGGCATCTGCCGAAAGGGAAGTGTATCGCCATAAATGGGAATCAGTTCGTGGAGAGATGAACTGTGCGCATGGGACTCTGCGATTGGCAGATGAATATCTGTTCGTCAACGGACTGCTGTAGACAACTTGTTAAAGTATGATCTGATCCCCAACTCTACTATTGTCGTGGTGTTCCGTCTGGCGTATAAGCAAGCAGCGGCATCTTTTCTTCACAATTCATTCCTCCCATGCAATACAGTACTTACATTCAGCCAACTTCAACGTTAGGGGTCGGGGGACAACGTCACGATGCAGGTGTAGTTCGATGTCGATAGCTTTGGGAGGTGGATGAGGCTGGTGCAAAGACAGCATCGTCATGGACAATCTTGTCAATCCGAGACAACCGTAGCGCTGCGGCTTGACGTGGCACCTACACAACTGTCCAATATCCTTATCAGACGAATACACAACGTGAGAAGGGTGAAATTGAGGGTGTTTAACAAATATCGGCTGTAGGGGAACATACGAGCATGGTGGCAACAGGGTGCCATTTATGTGGACCTCTGAATACAAGGCCAAGACGATCATGACGCCAGACCCGAGTTTCAAACGTTTTTCCGAAATGCAGTCCCTCCAACGCGATCAGATCAGCAAGATTTGGGCACAAGTTCTAGAACTACACGTGTTGGACCCCCGACACTTTCGCTTCTATACGATCGGCTTAGCACGGATGAACGTCGTACTTTCAAGATTATGCTCCACAAATTGTCTTTGCTAGGAACGATGATGTCCTTTGCACAGAAAACGATACTTTCAGTGTGTCGAACGGCCTCGGAAGGCAGTAAAACAAGGTACATGAACGCTCATGAACGTCGCTAACCCTGATGATGGAATGCAGTGTTCAGGGTCATCACCGCTATTTCCGGCGGTAAACAACAGGGTGTGCCTGGATCATGCTCTTTCGGGGCATTCAAAAAGATCAAGCACGTCGGCGCCCACGTCTCTGCGACACTCACTGACAGTCTTATAGTACAGACTTCAGCGCTGCACAGAGTGTATGTAAAGAGCTCATCAGAGTGAGACGCCTCGGTCTCTCTTTCTGCTCTCTTTCATTTCTTGCTTTCGAGGTGCGTTGTCGGCTCCTTCGTTGAACTTGCGAAAGGTCGCTGAACTATTCAGGGCAGCCGGTCCTTTGGACTTGTGATCCACTTTGACGAGTCTTCCTCGGTCCTTGATTCGGTCAATCACTGCTCCTGAACCCAATCTACTACCCACAGTCGTTCATTTCTCAGCACTCTCGTTTCTTTCACTTGCTACGACCACCACACCACCCACTTAGAAGCTAGACGATATCCCGACGCTCATTACGACACATGTTCACTCCCCCGCCGTCCCCCACTCCATTCCGAGTGGCCCCTCCCAGGAGTGATGTCTTACCTGCCAGCGAAAAGTGTGCTTTCCTGACACCAGGCGACCATCTGAATAGTCTCGATTCCAGCTCAACACTGCCCGACTTAGAACCTATTTCGTTATCAACAGAAGCAAAGCAACGCACTGCTCGGCGGACCAAGTGGACGATTCTATTGGTGCCTACTATTCTCCTTCTCATCACCGCCTCGACACGATACCTTTCCCATCCCGCCGCGTTCGACACATTGTCGGGGGAAATTCACGAGTCTCATGAAGAGCTGCCTTCGTTGGCAGATTGGCATCTGCACAAGCGACATCCCCAGGCACAATCTTCTGCTGCAACTATTTCCTTTCCTACACCGACATCATCAAGCACAAGCTCCGCCGCATCCGCAACCGCCTCGAGCACGGACCAAAATCTGCCAACGATTCCACAATCGCCGCCGGTACTGCCCACTCCATTTCCCCGACCATTAACGGCGGTGAACCAAAACTTCTCGACGCTGGGATGCCAGAACTTCTTTACGAACATGACGTCCTCGGAACCATTTCTGGATTGCAGGCCTGTCTCGCTACTCATCAAGACATCGGCTGACTTTATTCAGGTGAGTACCCTCTGCCAGCAATTCACTTTCCTACCCCCGAATGAGAGTGTGGCTCTGCATCTTCATATGTCCCTGTCTCAGGGTTCTGATCATCATAAGAAGCGCCGACTGAAACATCTCTTTCGAGCTATCTCTTCACTCTGGTCATACCACTGACCAATACAATTTCTTCCATTCCCACTCACACGCGATATACAACTATCTGAACCTGTGTCTGACATTCTGTCCCTTGTCCCTTCAAGCAGGCACAAACCAATCTCACCGCACTCAACACCATCATCTGGGGGACATGCAACACAGACACAAACGCTGACCAATGCGTCGCCAACATGGACTGGTTTGCCGATAGCCTGAAATCATCATGCTCGCAAGAACTGTCAAACGACAACAGTCTGGTGACCGATACTTTGATAGGTAACTATCTTTCTGTTTATCAGAATGTAGCTCAAAAACTGATACTGTATCACAACGATCAGCACTCCAAGCGTATAGCTTGATGCGTGACGCGGTTTGCATGGCGGACCCCAGTACCAATGCTTATTGTTACGTCGAAGCCACTCATAATATCAACCCCTCGGATCTATATTTCTACCAACTTCCGTTCGGTGTCAAGCTCCCGCAATCGACGAAGCCTAGCTGTTCCTCATGCACGAAGAGTCTCATGAGCCTCTACACACAGTCTCTAAATATATCAGCGCTCTCCACGACGTATGAAGCCGCCGCTCAGACGGCGAATGGTGCATGTGGCGCGGGCTACGTGCAAACAACGACTGTGACGAACTCGGCGACAACAGTCGATCTTTCTTTGGGGGCGTTGCTCGGGGCATTCTTGATGTTAGTGTCCTTCACTGTGTTGTCGTGAGAAGTGGAGTGCGGGGGTAACGACTCAGTCATTTCGTTTACATGGGTATTTGGGAGGATTTATTTCTTGGATTAGGCTTTGTGTTGAATTTTTGGGTGGAATGTTTTTTTGTAATAAAGTCTTTGCTTCTTATTTGGTGTTTTATCTATTCGTAATTTACTTCGGACTGTACCTTCCCCTAGTCGTCTTATTTTGTTGTGGGTTTTAGTCTTCATTCATTCAACAATACCACAGAGATTCAAACTATATGAACCTGTCTTCATCCCGGTACTATTTGCGTTGAATATGGTAGAAACAGGAGCGATGAGCAAAATATCATGTACTTGCACTAAGAGGGAATCGAACCCCCGGCGGGTCGAGATAGCTTAATGGCAACGACCCAGGTTACCACTACCCCATTAGTGCTTAAGACCTGTTCCAGCAAACTCTAGATATACTCGTCATCAGCTGATGTCCCACAATCACCTTCACTTGGAATAGTGCTGCACAAGTACAAGTAAGTATGACCGGGCGTCCATATTTATTACTAGGTAGTACGCCGATGCTTTGATATACTAATATGCTTAATATTAAGTCATACTAAGTTGTATTTTTAGTACAATTTAGTATAGCTGTCTTCATTTTTTTTCTCCAGATGTTATAATGTAGTGTGAGTATACATAGCTCGTATCCCTTTCGTTAATGTAATTTTATCGTAATGGAACATCTCTAAGCTCTAGAAAGCATAAATATACATATTTTAACACCAACTTCACGGTGTGCTCTATAGGCGCCCATAGTAATAGTACAACTTAGTATGGAGTCCCGTATTATATTAAGTTGTATTATACAGAGATCATAATATACTCGTATTAATTTGTATTAATACGTACTTACTAAGTTGTACTCATATTCTTGCATAGCACTAACTTGGAATGATTCTGAGTCAGCTCAAGTTCCTTACACTCCACCATGTTATTACGTCTCGCTGGTCGGAAGTCTCTGCTTCGAACTCCAACCTCGTCTCTCAGAAATATATATTCTACGAGACTTGTCTTCTCGGAAGAAAAACGAGCTGAACTGAAAGATCCATGGCCGTTACCCCACACTCCCAAACACATGGAAGGCAGTACTTCTCCCGAAAATGCACCTCCACCCCTTCGCCTTGAACGACCAAACGAACCGATAGATAGGATGCGTGCACGCCTGGTTTATCAAACCCGGAAACGCGGTATGCTCGAGAATGACCTGTTGCTTAGTACTTTCGCGAAAGAACAGCTGAGCGACATGGGAAGGGCGGAATTGGAAGAGTTTGATAGGGTGAGTTTCTATGACGTTTGTTAGACAAATATGGGATTGAATATAGTTAATTCTTTGTCTGCAGCTATTGGATGAACTCGATTGGGATATCTATTACTGGGTAACAGACAAGAAGTTACCTCCTTCCCGATGGGCCAATTCACCCATCCTAGAAAAGCTCAAAGTCCATGTACGCAACGAGGGAAAGGTCGTGAGGCGAATGCCCGACCTCCAGTAATAACTTTGCAGAATGTAATCGCCCCACGTATAATGCGATCTACTGTCACATTAGACTGGATCTCAAACTATTCCTACACGAATTCGGGTTCAAATTTGAGTGTGCAGTTCGCGAGGTTCTGTATACCCCTCCTTCGTTGTAATCTACTCCTCTTGTCATTTACCACGTTCCAAAAGTCCTCATTTATTGAAACCAGGGGAATATCCCTCTATACCAAGGCCTGCTTGCTCACCATGATGAACAGGGTCATGGGCTACACATTATTTGATGCTATTTTGGGGGTAAGTCTCATTTCTTTTCGCTACAAAACGTTAGAGTCTCCTATGAAGTTCTCATGTTATCACGTTTATACTTTGAGTCAGGTAGACAAATCCCACTTAGCTACGGAAGTGGTGCAGGTTTGGTTCAAGTCGTACACCTCTGTCTTGACCTTGTAGATAACCCTATAGCCATCTCTAATTGACGATTCCTTGACGAAATTATAGGAGTTTGCTCTCGGACGAAATTGCCATTTCCGCGAAGCACTTAGTAACACGAGCTGGTTACGTTCAGTCAGTCTTCGTCGGGTGCTCCTAGTCGGGTGTATGGATAAAATATAAGGAGAGATACGCTACTCCCGAGTAGCCCACCCCCAAGTGTAACCTTGATCGAGTGTCCCATTGTTCTAATCTAGGTACGTACATTTTACGTTTGATAAAATATCATTACCCGAGCGAACACATGAGGCGCCGTCAGCGGAGGTTTCATACTTACCAGTACATCTCATCGACCATTAGCACTTCAATATGGTCGATACAACGGTCGATCAGCTTCCTCAGGAATACAAACCAGGAGCAGTAGGTCATCCCATTTACCATGTATGGCGGTTTACTGAGCAATGAGATAGTCTTTCGAACAGGTGGTAAAAGCGCGTCCTCTCATGAAACTTCCCCCCATCCTTGATGGAACAAAATATACAAAAGGACCATTTCCTCCTGTGTTCTGGTACGGCATTCTAGTCGACCAATCCGCCCTTGTAGACATTGCTATCGACGACTACAACTACGACAGACCTGAGAAGATAGATCCTGCATGGCCTCTGTTTGCTCCCATCTGGACCCAATCATTGTTGAAACATATTGCAAAAGAAGCGGGAGTCACTGCTCCCATTAAGTGGCAATATCGTCGAGTTCTCTGTCGAGAAAAGGTCATATGGTGCCTTTCCATTTCTCACAATTATGGCCCGTATCCAGAGCAGATGGGAGTGGAGATGAAGAAGATTTGGGACTACTTCAAGGAGAAGAGGGGACTGTCGGAAATGGGTTGTCCCAGGTGGTATCTTACTATGGACACCAGTGATCGGGAAATATTTTGGCGAGATCGTCTGTAGTACAATTACCTCCATCATGTCTAAATCTTGATTATAGGTACCGTCGACTCGGATAGTGACAGAGATTCGACACGATTAGCTTCATTGTTTTAATAAGAATAACATTTTGCTGTTTTCATTCAGCTTTTTCTATACAACACGTACTTGATTAAGGGAGTATCTACTACACATGCTCCCTGGTATGTTGAACTTGGACTCGGACGCGTGACGTCACGCCTTCAAACCTGGGCCTGCTGCTCATAAAAGGCAAACGCTTTTCAACTAGAGTTCCTTTAGATACACTAAGTTTGACGGTCTACTACTTGCAGAACTTCCACATGGCTCATATAACCGTCGACAAGCTTCCGAGAGAGTACAGGCCTGGAATGGTAAGTCCTCTCCATTAATTTTGTGACGACTCTTACTGAGCTGCGTTCGATATAGCCTTTCGAACAGGTAAAAAAGGCTCGTCCTCTTCTAAAGCTTCCCCCCATCCTCGATGGAGCAAAATATACAGAAGGACCATTTCCTCCTGTATTCTGGTATGGCATCTTGGTCGAACCAACCGCTCTTATAGACATTGCCGCCGACGACTACAACTACAAAAGGCGCGAGAAGATCGACCCTGGATGGCCTACCCTATCTCCCACTTGGACGCAATGGTTGTTGAAACACATCGGGAAAGAAGCGGGGGTGACTATTCCTATTGAGTGGCGATATCGTCCTGTGCTCTGTCGAGAAGAGGTTGTATGGTGCTTTTCCATCTCTCACAGCTATGGCCCATATCCAGAGCAGTTCGGGGTAGAGATGAAGAAAATTTGGGACTACTTCAAGGAGAAGAGGGGTCTGATGACGATGGGTTGTCCCAGGTGGTATCTCACTGTGGATACCAGTTATCATGAAATATACATCAGTAAAACTACACGCTACTTATTTGTCCTTATTGTACTTGTACAAGTACAATAAGGACAAGTGTACCGTGCTTAAATCATGAGGTACAAAACTTGTATCAGGACAAATATTTGAAATAAACAAGTGCAAGTTCGGTGCAAGTGCTGCGGACAAGTGCGATTTTAGGTGTGCCAGAAATTGCGACAGTCACGCTGTAAGTTTTGAGTTTCAAGCACAAAAGATAATCAAACAGATATATTCAAACATTACACAGACATATTTTTGATACATATTTGTAATACTAATTAAGAGTACGAAGTCTAGTACCATTGATAAAATATGATGATACCGCTTACCTTCTATGATACTGAGAAACCGTTGAAACATGGTCCACGGTCACTTACGGAAGAGGCGCTAGACAGACGATCACAACTCAAGCAAAGACCACGAGCTTACTCTCACAACCGCTAGCAGCTGGGATCCTCCCTCCCTCCCTCACTCACCTGTCGTCATCACGGCTGCAACGGAAGCCTGAACTATGGAATGATCAAATGTTTACCTGACTGTTAACAAAGCTGAAGACAATGTAAAGATGGGAATATGGAAGGGAGGATGAGAGCCAGGAAGGAGCGGGGTAAAAGAGGAGCACGATAGGGACCGTGTCAGCATGGTATTTAACCATCCCATTATACAATTCCCACAGGTGTACGAGGGCGTGCCTCGAATCAACTCGACATAACCTCTGGATAAGGAACGACTCTAACTCGGCTTATCGAGTTCATGAGGTCCGCACCGAATCATTTCCGACCGAGCGCCCTCAAATGAATCAGTTTACACTCATTGATCTATGAAGGTCGTCATTCCCCCCCTGGTCCATGTCTCGAGAGGTTCATAACTTCTTGTCGAACTTCAACGTACATCGAGTACCCTATGGATAATGCTTGTCCTCGCACATACACTTTAAATTGCTCTTTCCGATGAAATGAGCGATGTGGTCTCTTTGAACGATTGGAATGGTTGTTTTGAGGTCTTGGGTACCCCTGCTCTTGTTTGGTATTGTAGTTTATCATAGGTTCTTATTATTCTCCAGATTCTGGGGCTAACTCACCGTTTCAACACAGCAAGTTTCAATTTTTTTACATTATATCGATCGCCCATACTGCAGCTGTCTCAAACCCATACCCTCCCCATGGTCCTTTAACTGTACCTATATGCCTCCGGATACCTTGCGCATACCTACTGCATCCCCAGCAACTTTGCTCGGACAGGGTTGACCCATGCTCATGCGATCACCTTCGGTAAGTATACGGACAGACTGATTCTATGTCACCTCCCACTATATCTGCTGGCTTGTAGGGGTGTGGTCTTCGTCAAAGAATAACAAGAGCGCTGAGAGCGCGGGTTATAGGTCTACACAGGTGAAGGAGAGAATCACACAAAAAGTACGCAGTATCAATGCTCTCGGTGTTCTTCGCTATCCTCATCTCCACCCCTGCATGTATGGTGTATGTTTCAAATGGAACAAACCTCCCGAGGTCAAACCAAAGGACACAGTCTCAAAGATGAAACTTAAGCTCGGAAAAGATGCTAGATTTCCCTCGGTAATTTTCGCATTTGAAATATTGTACTTGTACTTGCTCTGTACTGCGT